TTTTGCTAAAGAACAACTAAAGTTCTCTATCTGCCAAGAAACCTCTCACATCGCAAGCTTTGTCCAGTTTTCCAGTAGCAATAAGCCATCGCGGTGATTCCAGGAATAGCATGAACCCGATAGTAATTGGTGAAGAGACCAAATTAAGGAATACGAAGAAGTTCTGCCAGCCCTGAAAACTTTTGAATCCACAACGCATTCTCATCTTTGTGCCAATAAGAGATATTCATAATTCAGCCCCTAACACCACAATTACCTTTGTCAAATATGCGATTAATGCAATTGTCATGTAAGCGAACGGCCACTGGAAAGCATTTGCCATAACTACGCGATATCTGAATAATTTTTAGGAATTACGATAACAAGTGAAAATTAGCAGCTGCAGAATTTTACAGATTCTTACTTGTTGTTTGTATATTCCATCATCATTGTTAATGATGTGACCTGGAATAATTTTTAATTACTTCTTTTAGATGCCGCTTTTAAAACTTCGCGGAAGTCTTTCGTGATTTAGCTTGAAATAATATAGAGGAGCTAGATTTGAGTAACGCTGTAAATCCCGCAGAGTTCCAAACATATTCAGAGCTTGGATTTTCATCAGCATTTACATGGGTAGGTGGCTACTAATGGTAAATCAACCACCAAAAACTGCTTCAGTATTTTTTTGCTCTTTTCCTTTAAAAAAGTAGGGCGGCACAAGATATCAGTAAATCACCAACCTATTTTTGTTACGACACAACTGATGAGAAGGAACTAACAAACAGTTGGACCATAGCTCATTTACGAATGTACTAAATGACAACGAGGGACGCTCACTCTACATCCAGAAGAAATAATCAAGTAAGATGACTCAAAAGTCATTCCTTGATCTGGTCACCATGACTGTTCATAGTTCGTTACCTTCTTACATTTCTTACGTAATGTTACTAATGGGAAATTTTCATGACTGCTAAGAGCTGGCAACATTTAAGTATTTCCAGCTTACTTTAATTATTATAGTATTCAGATACCATGAGCCTAATCCAGATATCACAAAAATGTTTATACAATAA